CGATCTACCTAAATGCGTCTATGTTTGCGCAAATCATTCGTGATCTAGCTTCACCTCCAGAAGAAGTGAGTATACGTTTTTTTTTTTTTTCCGAGTCTTTGCAAATCGCCTTTCCTAATAACGTGCTAGTTAGCAAGTTTCACGATGAATGCAGCTAAAGTTTACAGTCTCTCAGAGAACTGCGCGTCACCCCACGGAAGAGAGACGCGAGGTGAGCAGAGCTCATTAGTGTTTAAAAGGAAATGCACCAAAACGGCTTGCTGTAAACGGAGCCCAGAGAGCGGCTCGGAAGAGAGTGGCGGGGTCAGCAGAGCTCATTTGCATTTAAAGTGACATGCAAGAATATAGGACAGGCAGGCAAGGAGGACAGAATTTATGGAGCAATTACGCTGTTCTATAAACACAGATAGACATAATTGTATGATGCATGCAAAAGAAACCAACAGCATTCTCAGAGAGTTTGATTCATACGTTGATAGTTCTTGTTGATTATATGATGCAATGAGCAGTTGAGCACTGATGCAATTCATATTGAAGACGATACATTTTTTTATGCCTTCATTGAAAGTTAAGATGAATCTTGGGATTTTAGGAATCAATACTGAATTGTTTAAATGAAGATTATAGTTAATTGGAAAAAGCATTCATACTGTTAGTCAGGGCTCTACAGTGCAACCATTTCAGTCGCATTTGTGACTGAAAACATCAAATTTTGGTGCTCCTAAATTTTTGACTGTGCTCCTAAATTTTTTAAGTTAGGAGCACAAGCGCTCCTAAAAAGAAAAATAAGCGTAGAGCCCTGTTAGTGCTTGAGGGAAAGTCTCAACACTAAATTACACAAGGTTTATTGTAGTATAGAGCTATCAAACATATTTTAGGAATCACTGTTAATTTTCTGTCATGTTATAATGAAACCTACGACACCAGAAAGGGTTCGAGTCTCATTCAGTCACTTAATGTCTGTGTGTGTGGTGCAATTAGACGATTAATTATTTCTTGAATGTTTATTGTTCAATGCCCAGACCCCTCACTTTGAACGCAGCCATTTCAAGAGAACGGTAGGTAGTAAAAGATCACTGCCTGCCAATAATTGCCTGAATTTCTTTTACTGCCAAACTGAAAAATGAAAGCATAAGGAAATAGTTTATTGCATTCTGAATGAACCTGCACTTACTAAGATTATTCATTAACTTAGGTCTATTCATTTCTGAACTTACGCTTCACACAAATTTGTCTGCAAATAAATACATATTACAGAGTAACAAAGAGTTATTTCTACCTTTGGAGAGGTTTTGGTTCAGAAAGGCCTTCAGATCTCCACACAGAGCCGCTGCGCCAACCTGAGTGGAGAAGAAAGTAGGAAGAGTTCAAATGAATGTCATTATATATTATATATCATTAGATATTCAATCTATAGAATGAAAGGCTTTAAACGGACGAGCAAACAGATGTCGGTGGAGTTTACAGAGACATCTATTCACAGGGGTCGGAGGTCGTGGAGTGTGTCACCATGATTTAATCAACAGGACATGGCAGAGGCATTTAAACTAAATGAGAAATGTTAGGCAGAGGCTCTCAGTAAGCAGTAGATACAAGGGTGTAACAGTTCAGTCTAAAAATTCAATGAGTTTTGGGAATATTTTGTGAAGGAAAGCTTAAATCTAAGGGTCTTTGCACACGGAGTCCGAAATTCTCGTCCAAAATTTTCGCACGTAAAAAAAAATACGACCTCAAGTTGTGTCAATCATGTTTACACACTGCCTCCGAAACTTTCGTCAGTCACAAAAAAAATACAAAATAAAAAATCAGACCAAGTTTGATTTTCTGCGTTTTCGCATCCGTAGCAAGAATTTTGATAGGAAAGGATAACGGATACGAAAAAAAAAATACGAAAAGACGCATACGAAAATTTCAGACTCAGAGTGCAAGGACCTTAAGACCTGATAAACTGTTACAGCACCTCACATCTTTATGTCATTACATTTAGTTTAAAATAAGCGGTTTCTCTTAAAGGGTTACTCGACCCCAAAATGAAAATGTTGTCATTAATCACTTACCCCCCATGTCGTTCCAAACCCGTAAAAGCTTAATTCGCAGCTCCATTTTGGAGAATATCCGCAGAACGCAAGCAGCTTACGCTATTCTGTGTCAGCCGCGACACAAGGATACATTTTCTACATGTATTTACGCCGTGATTTGAACGACAACAGCACAACCGTGCAACGTGGCTGACACAGAAGAGCGTACGCTGCTTGCGTTCAGCGGATATTCTCCAAAATGGCGCTACGGTGATGCGGAGAGACACAGAGGAGACGAATTGTTGAATAAAGTCGTTATTTTTGCTTTCTTCGCGTACAAAAAGTATTCTCGTCGCTTCATAACGTTACGGTTGAACCACTGATGGCAGATGGACAATTCTGACGATGTCTTTCATACTTTTCTGGACCTTGACAGTGTAATTTACTTGGCAGTCAAACGGACAGTCACAAGCCTCCCGGTTTTCATCCAAAATATCTTAAATTGTGTTCCGAAGACGAACAAAGCATTTACGGGTTTGGAACAACATGGGGTAAGTGATTAGTGACAAAATTTTCATTTTGGGGTGGAGTATCCCTTTAATAGCAGGACTCTAGATTGTGACTAAACGGTCGCACTTATAGCGGTCGCGGAGGTGACACTAATTTGACTAAACGATAACACTTCCATTTCAGTTGTGCATGAGAAACATTATGGCAAACGGGCCAAAAGTGGAACGAAACAGCACTACCGGTTTGAAATGCACCACATGGACATACAACAGCTCGGCCCAAGAGACGGCGCAGTGCCATCTTAGAGGAGTGCTTTTATCTCGATCAAGCCACCATAATTAAACAGCGCTGTGAGATCCAGTAAGAAGCACTTGAGGTCACTGTAGTTTTCTGACAAAAACCACCAAGTGATTTAAACTATTTTAAAGCTGGATGAACCAGCACTGACAATCTCAACAAACTGACATGGAAAACAAGAAAAAGAAAACTGTGCCACAACAGTCCAGTTAGAACGATTTTCAATTCAGAAATCACCAACATTCATAATGTACAGTATTTACTTTAGTAACCCTAAACTGTAACATGGTATTGTGGTAGAAATGTGGCATATTCATATGAAATGTTATCAGTAATTGAATTTAATTACAGTATCCTTTGTTATTAAGCTATAGCAGGTTTTGTGCATTATTGTTTATACTAAATGTAGGGCTGGCCCCGTAATAGTCGACAAGAAGAGGCTACTCTCTGATTATGTAATCAATATGAAAGGTGCATTTCTCTCTAAAAGGTGTGTCATCGAGTCAGCATCATCAAATTCATCTTTACAGCCAACACGGAATCAGAAAATACTAGTTTATTAATAAATAATTCAAATACCTCTTTGCTAGTTTTCTGATATATTCAAGGTCATTACTTTTGCTGGTCCTTTGAGGCAAGCTTGATGCGTGAGCAAACTTGTGCGGAATAGGCTGTATATTAAATATTCTGTATATTTAAGTATTTATATTCATTAAAGTAATATAAACCTGTGACTGATGGCTTAAAAGAATGACTACTAGTCAACTAGAAAAATCCTTAGCCCTAACTAAATGTGTTTAAGCTAAACCACACAGTTATAGTGTGTTATACTATAGAAAACATAAAGTTACTTTTTTTACCTGTGGGTCTCATGATCATTTTCATTTTAATACGAGTCCTAACTCCTGAGTCAGTTCGAATATTTACATTTTACCCTATAAAATATTTTAAACAGATGTTACTGTTTTTAATAAAAATAAATGTACATTTGCATCCCACCTCAAGCTACTGCTACGGTCAACTCAAGCTACTGTCAAATGTGCAATTCAAAGAGACAAAACATTATCAATATTTCAATATTATTAATCATTATTAAATAATTTGGTGCCATCAAATCAGGTGTATGTGCTGAGTTTGGCAGCACCAGTGACACTGCTGTCAAATGTTAGTCTGGAGCCCTGTTATAGCATTATTATGTTCACAAAATATGTTTTACATCAGCAATAGAGCAGAATTCAGCACCGCAAACACTCTTAAAAATAAAGGTTCTTTATTGGCATCAATGGTTCCACAAAGAACCTTTACCATCCATGGAACCATTTTAATTCCACAAAAGGTTCTTTAGATTATTCAAATGTTCTTAACATTAAGAAAAAAATTGTTATTTTAAGAACTGTTCACTGAAAGGTTCTTTGGGGAACCAAAACTGGTTCTTCTATGGCATCGCTGTGAAAACCCTTTTGGAAACTTTATTTATTTAGTGAAGGCCTACTTGCAAAAGAACTCTTTCACTTTTGTTTTGTCAACAGTGCAAACGGTGGTTTTAACATGTTGACACTTGAATCGTAACAGACTTGACAAAGACCTGAAAGTCTCTTTACTTACACAAGTTGGTGTTGACACACTCACCGTGTTGGCCATCATACTGAAGATGAAGGGCTCTTTCTGGTCAGATCCCCTCACGCTCAGAGCTGCACGGCCCCTGTAGACACACACGAACGATCAGGTATGTGACGATGAGGACTGTTAGAGGAGAGGAAAGCTCTGGATGAGGATGATGGAGATACACTGATGAGCAGAGATGACAAAAAGACAGTGAGAGGAGGAGACACAGAGAGGATTCACACAGCAGGTAACCTCCAAACTTTCTCCCCCAGCGGAAAGTGTGTGTGTGTGTGAGAGAGAGAGGGGGGGGCGGTTCAATCTCTTTCTACTCTTCTACTAATCAATACATCATACACGTTCTATTAGCCTATTTGTATATATTTAAAAGGCAATTATTTAAACCTTAGGCTACGATATGATACGAATGAATGGAATAAGCACAATCAAACAGCCGCGTTGCCATCTCTGCGCGTCTCAGTCTCTCAAAAACCAAACCAGCTCTCTCTCAAGAGTAGGCTAATAATCAACTTAGATACAGATACATTTTCTACTAGGCCTACATGTTCGCATCTTTATCTTTTGCTGGTTTGCGTGGCACATGCACATTTGTTTAGTGAAGTTCAAAAAAAGAATCGCTTAAAGAGTTCTGCGTAATGAAAATGTGTGCATTGAATTCAGTCGTTTTCAAATGATCACTAAACGTTTGTCATGACATCTCTCTGCTTGCATGATAAATATATTTTTAGAAATTAATAATTATTTTAGTTTAACATGGCATACTTGTTCAGTGATAACTATGAAAAAAAAAAGATAGTCATAACGGTCTTATCAAGTAACTGTACGACGTTCCACCTGGTTTTATCCGAATGCAGATACGAATAATTTTGTGATTGTTAAAGATACAGATACAGATACAGATACAGATACAGTATGAATGTGTTGTTTGAATGAAATCTGGACGTACTCCGCCACTGCATCACTTCACTGCCATTCACAACTCGTCTCCCATGGCCTCATGGGATAGTAAAGTGTCCATCAGATGCACTACTTCGGTCGAAGTAGTAGGACATCAAAGTACATTTTGTTTTTTATGATGAACTCTACTTATTTCACTTACTGTTTTTTGCCTACTGGATCAAGGACATGAGTTTATGAAAGCAATGGTTTAATTAAATGTAAATAATAATTAAAAAAATTCTAGTCAACTGAATTCCTAAAAATGTAATTATATAATGAACTATCTATCTATCTATCTATCTATTAATAATCCCCCCCAGAATTTCTGTTAAGGCAAAAAAAAAAAAAACACTTAAGATTTAATACAGACTTATTGTCAACAACAGGTAATCAAAAGAAACAAGGCATGAAAGCAAACCTCTTCAACACTAGCCAAAGGTTTCGACCCTGTTTAGACACTGCATAATATATGACTTGCACAACTGTGTCAAATGTTTACGTAAACACATTGGCGAAAGTAAACCAATGTATGCGAGTGAGCAAAGGTCACACCACAAATTGTAGGTCAACCGCTGAGAAGGCACTTTGATGTTGTTGTTATCATGCTACATGCGCTCAGTGGTCACCTTTATGCAAAGCAAGTGTGCTTTCTGTGCACAACAAAAAATATATCTCATGCGTGTCTCCATGAAGTTCCTGTAAGTCTCGAGTCCACTAAGTATGCTAATGCCGGCGCCCATATGATCCGCGTGCGTCTTTGTGGCCGGTTTGGGAGAGGCGTAGAGCAGACAGCTGGTAAGCCTGGCTGTGGTGGAGGACGTGAGGCAGAATGGACCGTGCAGATCAATAGACGGGGGGATCTAGCCCTGCCGCCCAACGCCCCACAATACCCCCTACAGCCACACATAAAGGCCTTTTGTCCCATGGGGGAGCAGCCTGACACAGGAACCAGAGAGGAGCTTCAAAGTGGCTGAAGGTTTCTCCTTTTCTGTGTCATTTGCCCTCCCCCAGTCCCTCTTTCTCTTCTCCTGGGTTAGGCAGAGGCCACCCAGTAAATGTAAGGGAACTTGGGTCGCCGTGGCTCGACACATTGCTCTGGTGACATGACACTAAAGAGACGACTTGTTGCTGAGTAAGAGTGGAGCAGGACAGCACAGCGAGCGCATAATGACAAAAGATTTCACTTACGCACTTGTAAATCAAGTCTGTTGTTGTGCTTTGTTACCCGTTTGCAGGACAGTCCTTTAAAAAGTCTCTTGAGATCACAGGCGACTTATGGGGGATCTTCCTCAATGGGCTTTATTGACCTGCATTTGTTGAAACTCATGTGCTTGTTCTTAATCACAACAAAAGGTTTGTTCATCTAATTAGTGGTGCTTGCTAAGAAAAGCATCACTAAATACTCATACTTGAGTTCAAATTGTTCAAATTCTTAACCCCGAAAGTATTGAACTTGAGACAAGAATGATGCTACAAATCAAGAGGCTTGTTGAGAAGAGGTGCGTTCTTAATCCACCGTATGCCTGGTTAAGTAAAAACATCCTGTAGAGTATAGTAAAGGAGGGGCCAGAGTCTAAAGACACAGAAAACCCTATAAAGCCTACTGTATCATATATGATATGCAAACTCATAAGGCCTGTAAATGATCGCCATGATCAAAACTTTGCTTAAGGAAAAGTGCAAATTGTTCTAGATTTTCTTTTTGTTTTTCCAAAGGGTCAATTAACTTATCCATTAAAAATAAATAAATAAATACATAAATCTGGCCTTTATTCCATTTCAAGCTTTACAGGGTTAAGGGTTAAGTCAACCTGTTAACTATCGGTGCTCTTTTTCTTACTTTTTTTCCCCATCACATATTTTAGAAATCACCATTAATTAGAAATCTTTCGAAAGCTTAAACACTCCAAATTCATCCTGTGAAAACAGTTTTGAAATCAGACATTGCATTAGGGCTGCACGATTAATCGAATGCGATTGTCATGCATCACAGAACCGTGCTTCACTGAAAGATACGCATGACAATTGCAGCTTCTGTCGAATCGCGATCTCGATTCCATTTCGATTAATCGTGCAGCCCTACATTGCATTACAATGGAAATGGTACTTTACAATAAAATAAAACCTTACAATAGGCTCCTCCCACTCATGGGCTGTGTCACCCGTCATATTACAGAATATTACAACATTTTATAATCAAAACTTTCTAATCTTGACAAAACACATATCGTTGGAAAGGTCTCAAGGTTCCATATTTCGTAGTGATTTTGTCATAGAAGTAGGGTTGGGTATCATTTGAATTTTATCGATTCCTAGTCTCGATTCCAATAAGATAAAAATCCAATCTAAAAAAAAAACTTAAGCCAGACATTTAGATGTCAAACATGTATTCTGTCTTTTTACAAAGCATTCTGTTGCAGCTGAATAACGCAAGAACCATCAGCCTACAGAAGAGGAACTTTTGCCCATGCTTTTAACAGAAATACCACAGCAAAAACAACTAGACTAATATACATTTGAAATATTAAAGTGTTAAAGACAAGAAAACAGTCAGTAATAAAATAGGAACAAACAAAAAAATTAGCAATAGCATAAATACAGCTGAACCAAATTTCAGGTACAGAAACTGTAATTAAAAGTTTAAAAACACTGCATAGTTTTCTTTTCATAAATAAAACATAGATAATATATTCAGTCAAGATCAGTGTATAATTTTATTTTGTTCTTTGATTAACATTAATGACAGGCAGTGCATTTATTAGGCTGCTGTCTCTTTAACACCAAACGCACGCAGATCTAAAAATACTGTACACGTGCGCTTTCTTTCTCATCGGTTTACGTTCACTTAAGACAAAAACAGCTGTGTTTATGATGACATACTGACGTAGTTTTCTGCATACTGGTCGATAAACATGAAAGAAGTCTGTTCCGGCTTGGAACAACCTTTCCTGCAGTGAAAATGCACGGAACGGTTCGAGAACGTACACAGGCTGGGAAGCCGCTCTGAGACCGCTGTTCTCTATTCTGATCTCTGTTCTCTGTGCTCGCGCTTTAGACGCGTGTGCTGCACGCAAACAAGACGCAAGTTATTTCCGTTCCTGCACTTAAATCATTTTAAATCTCATTAAAATGCGAAAGCAAGAATAGTTAAGCAGAATCTAAATGCACGCATCTTATCGAATACCCGGTTCTTGGTCATTTGGAACCGGTTTTCGATACCCAACCCTACATAGACGTTTTTGTAATATCAACTTCAAATTTGGAACATAACAATTAGAAATATGACTTTGATTTTTATAGCAAGTTTAGATTGCAAAATGGATTGCTTTCACGATCTGCTGTCTTCTTGTCTTCTTTAAAGGGGTCATATGATGCAATTTCAATTTTTCCTTTCTCTTTGAAGTATTACAAGCTCTTGGTGCATAAAGAAGATCTGTAAAGTTGCAAAGACTAAAGTCTCAAATCCAAAGAGATATTCTTTATAAAAGTTAAGAGTCTACAACCCTCTACGGACACCTTGGCAATTGATATACAGTGGGTACGGAAAGTATTCAGACCCCCTTAAATTTTTCACTCTTTGTTATATTGCAGCCATTTGCTAAAATCATTTAAGTTAATTTTTTTCCTCATTAATGTACACACAGCACCCCATATTGACAGAAAAACACAGAATTGTTGACATTTTTGCAGATTTATTAAAAAAGAAAAACTGAAATATCACATGGTCCTAAGTATTCAGACCCTTTGCTGTGACACTCATATATTTAACTCAGGTGCTGTCCATTTCTTCTGATCAGCCTTGAGATGGTTCTACACCTTCATTTGAGTCCAGCTGTGTTTGATTATACTGATTGGACTTGATTAGGAAAGCCACACACCTGTCTATATAAGACCTTACAGCTCACAGTGCATGTCAGAGCAAATGAGAATCATGAGGTCAAAGGAACTGCCTGAAGAGCTCAGAGACAGAATTGTGGCAAGGCACAGATCTGGCCAAGGTTACAAAAAAATTTCTGCTGCACTTAAGGTTCCTAAGAGCACAGTGGCCTCCATAATCCTTAAATGGAAGACATTTGGGACGACCAGAACCCTTCCTAGAGCTGGCCGTCCAGCCAAACTGAGCTATCGGGGGAGAAGAGCCTTGGTGAGAGAGGTAAAGAAGAACCCAAAGATCACTGTGGCTGAGCTCCAGAGATGCAGTCGGGAGATGGG